ATACACACATGCATCTCAGGAGCATGAACTGGGTCAACACTGCTATGTTTTGGGTTCAAATCTCAGCGACATCAATGTTTTGTCTTATCCATTCCGGATTCCGGAACACCCCCCCCCCCCCCAAGATACTATTTACGGTGCATTTATTTTTAATACTAATTTATTTTTGTACAACTTCCACTTCTCCCTTGTTGTGAAGGAAAAGGGCTGTGTGTGTGTGGGTACGAGGGGGGGGGGGGAAGACTCCATTCTGAAAAAGTGTTGCTTTGTGTTATTTCATCAAGCACTAAACTTCTATAAAAACTAACAAAACAAACCAAAAACTGACAGCACCTTAATATTCTTTTTTTTTTTTATTATCTTGTTGCTTACCACGGCTGCACCCACATGAAAGAGCGCAGTTTGGGAACATGTAAGTCGGATTCTTATCGCATTCTCCAACCTTGGCCCAGTACTGGCATTCATACGCCGTGTGCTTGTCCACACACGCATTTTTGCAGAACCCACAGGCAGACGTGCAATGCTTCGACATCCAGGCAGGGTTTTTCTGGCACTCATCATTCTTCGCCCAAACGGTGCAGTTTGACGGGTACTTGAAGGTATTTGTGCAGCTCTCTGGGGAAAAATGGAAGTGGTCAAGTCAGGTGATTTTCCATCAGGAAAGCAGATTCAAAGATAGAAAAAGATTTTTAACGCTTCAACAAAAATGATTTCATAAATCGAAAAGGTTTTAACTTTTTATCTCTAGCAAGCCACTCTCAACGGCTCACGGTGCGGCTGGTATTCCTTTCCAACTTCGACATTGTCAGCCACGTACTGACTTAGACTTCCATCGTAATTTCCGAGACATTGTATCCCTCTAAGCCCGGTTTGGCCCTGACAATGCACGGTCATTAAAGCCTACCTCCTATATGATCTAAATTGTGTGGAAAGAGGCATTAAAAACCTACATTAATACAATTAAGTGCAGTGTTTTGAAAAGCAACTATGCACTCTGCCTCTATCCTAATTTGCACCATAAATATTTATAGGTACTGATGAAAAAATTTATCATTTTAATCCCTTCACTGCTGAGGAGTTTCCATCTACATCTGAAAAGACAAGATGAAATGTTCATTCAAGGAATATTTTAACACAAAGAATTGTTTATGTTAACTCTTTTTGTAAACCATACAGAGGAAACAATATAAGTGGAGAATGCAAGACAGAACATATGTCTTCTCAGCAGTAAAGAGGTTTAAGAAACAACTTTAAAACTATACACGAACCTTTCGGTAACTGACTGAACACAAAAGAGTTCTCCAATTTGGAGTCGATACTGGCCAGGTGCGCCCCATCCTGTCTGCAGGCAATATCTGCGTCTTCCCATTTCATGGGTGTAGGTTGAATCTTGTAGCAGTTTGACTGAACAAAAAACAAAAATTCATAAAACTAAGAGAATATGTCAACAAAAGAAAAGAAAACATTTTTTTTAAAACAAAACAAACAAAAACATCTGGGATAGAAAAAAAAAACTCGAATCTCTTCAATATTTGGGTCCTGACATGGTGGAATCAAGCACTCGTCAGTTTTTAGACATAGATCTATATAGAATTATTGGTATTGTTCATTTGTCTTGCTTTTGACAACAACAAAAAAAAAACAATCCTAAAAAACATCAATCTTTAATAGAAGCAGACTGATTAAAGGAGGCAGAGGTCACCTGATGTCAGAGGTCACCTGATGTCAGAGGTAAAATTAGCAAGACAATGGTCACCAAAGTTTGGTGACTTCCAAACCATGAATGTCCTGGAAACTAACAATTTACATGTATGGTGTCCCCAATCAACATTTTTCAGTGATATCCAAACAGAAATCATTTTTTAACCCTTCCAGCCCCAAGCGCTTATATTTTCAGCAGAGCTTGTACCTCCCACCATCCCAAGAGTGTATATTCTCAGTTTCGGGAGGTACCAATTTTTCGCATTTTTCTAAATTAGCGAACCTAATTAAACTGTAATTTTCATAATATTCGTTCAATTACCTTTGAACACTTTTCTATGTTATCACCTAAACCTCATTACAAAGATACTAGATCACTTTTTAGAATGCCTGCTAGTTTCTCTGAAATACCACTGTATTGGCTGGTACTAGGGTAAGGAAGTGCAGAAAAATGGCTGGGGCTGGAAGGGTTAAATGAACATGCAAGGGGTTGAGTAAATAAAAAATTTTAAATCTATAAGAATAACCTAAACGGTGGAAAAATGGTGGATTCATCAATTTCATGATTTTTTATAAATGCCTGATTCCACCACGATGCCACACATTTAACCTTTCCATTAACTCCTTCACTATCAGGGGGTTTTCCTCAACCTGGGCCTGGACTTGTCTGTGACCTACTTTCTGATTCTTCCTATCCTCGAACAAATTAAAGATTTTGAGTTTTCAATTTTCAATATTAGCCATATTATATATTAAAATAAAGGGAAAATAATGAATTATCTCAACGTGTAGCTAAAAACGATCATTCTTCAGTCTGAGATATCTGTTTTGATTATTACAAAAGTAGGTGTGGTTTTGAAGCAGGAAGTGGCGTGCCGTGAAACACAGTTCGCGGTCCAGCGTTGAGAGTAGCACGAGCCGTAAAACACTGGTTGCGATATTGAAAGAGTTAACTTCTTTTGAGTTAAAGATAATAATAATAAAAATAATAATAATGAATAGCATTTGTATAGCGCATATCCCCGCTCAACTGCAGGCTCTATGCGCTTTACACTATATTACACTATATCCAATTCATAAAGAAAGGATACTTCACATATCGGACAAAAAATGTTTTTACTCTACCTGATAAGACAACCATCCAGGCTCACAACCGTAGTGTTTTCCCTCTGTGGACAAACCAAGCAAATCAAAGTTGTTAGAGAATCTCCACTCTGGCAGCCATACACTAGTGGAAGAATAGAGCGTATTGTCGCTGTCTCGAGCAATCCACGTGTCGTAAGTCCAAATTTTGAGAATGTTCAGTTTTTCAAACTCTCTCAAAGAAGCACCTTTCAACATCTCAAAAGTTAAGCTTAACCTCTTCGCTGCCATGGCAGTAGAATTTACGGGCCTGAACCATGTAGTGCTGTGCCTATGGCCCGTAGAATTTACAGGACTGTGACAGAGGTTGTTTTGATACCAATTCTGAGTGAAGTTATGGCTAAAATCTTGAAAATATTATTGAGGTACTTTTCCCTTTATGTTTACCTCCACCCCACCCCCCCTCCCCATTTGAAAGCGCAAATTCAACTATTCTCCATCTATCTCTCAATGCAAATACTCCAAAATCATATCAATTGAATTGATGTTCAATGTAGAATGTACATGCAGAAATTCATAAGGAAAGATTTATAAATAAAAAAGTTATGGGAGGTAGAGTGTGGTCACCCCTGAGCAGCCTTGGTTTATGGGATTTCCCCAGGCACAGGGGTTGATGCCAAGGTCAAGACTAACAAACTTTCTTGCATTTCAGGATTCTTAATAGGAACAAACAATTAAACAAGTCAATGGTCTCTGAAGTAAAAAGTACCCAACAGGACTCGTGTGAATTGCTTGCAGCACAGATGATAAGCCAAAACTTAGCAAACTTACTGTCTAAAAACCTTAAGTTCAATATTAAGTGAAAAAAATGTAACAGCATATTGAGAAAGAAGCTCCAAGAGTAAAAAGAACAATGCCACTAAATTAAAGTCGACTTAAAACCTGAATCTGACTCATTTCATTAATGCATTCAAACTCAACATAGTTCGTTTATTAAAATCTAATGGTCGAGCATTTTCTGTTGTTTTCTTTATTTTGTAGTTTCCTTTTACTTCGACCTGAACTGAAAATTCTAAAGTGAAAAACAAAATAAGACCAAAACAAAACCTAAATCAAACAGACAGCGAAAAACAACGTGAACCTCTCATAAAAAAACAGACCTCAGACTGAGAGGAAAACAAACCAAGGACGAAGGACAATTATTCTCTCTCTCTTTGGATGAAGAATCTGAACTTTAATGTATTTTCAAAGCCAGTTATGAACAAATTGCCATCAAGTTAGTATTGCAAAGATGGGTTTGATTACTTCATACTTTTCTGTTTACAGCCATTATATTCAAATTTGTATCAGACAACTATTCCCTACCAAAGAATTAAAAAGTTTTATTTGCTCAGTACCTAGTTTTGAGAAATTTGACGTAAAAAATTTGAGTTTCACAATATTTTCAGCTTTTTCGAAAGCAATTCTTTGAATATCTTGATGACAACAAAAACAACACCAAAAAACACCAAAAAACAACAACAGCACAAAGACAGAGATCCACCTTTTGAAATATCATCTTGATGGTTAGTTCATCCTTCTCATTCATAGAACACTTAGGTTTATAAGGGGATGTACATCATCATCGCCTACTATGCTGTGATAGTTCGTTACCTCAAAATTATGAAGTTCTATCTTCTCAGTTCCTAGTTTCGAGAAATTTGACTACAACATGTTTTGAGTTTCACAACTCGTCAAGCTTTTTCAAATGCAGTCCTTTGAATATATCTTGATAACGACTCCAAATATTCTTATAATTTTGATTGAGAAGATACAGCATAAGATTTCAGACCTCATGTGCTTAGTAACTTAAAACGGCCAAAAATGTCTGATAAAACTTTGTAATTCTTAGGTAGCATATTATTAAAGGTGGTATACGGGTATCACTTGTTGTTATGGTCCATACTACTAACAGTGTCCAATTTATCCTTTAAGTTATGTCTTGTAATAAATATAATAATAATGATAATGATAATAATAATAGATTGCATATAGCACTCTCTCCCATATGAGTAAAATCTCTGAGCACTTTACATCAATCACATGATCACTGGAAAGTAATAATTCTTTCACACAGGATAAAATTATTTCACAATAATATGAAAAATCAGTTCAACCACATAAAGAATCACACTTGGATGCCTACACTTCCAGCTTGAGCAAGCAAAGTCAGAAGAGCAACTCACTTGGCACGTTTGACGGGGTGGTATAAGGGGCTGGTGTAGTCAGGGCCGACTCAGCTGAGAAAACAACAACCAAATTTGACCATGAACATCGACTTGATGTTTGAACCTTATGTGTATTTTGAGACTTTATGATGGAATCCACACAGAAAAAGAAAAAGAGAGAAGATCCTAGAGTATTTGGAGGAGGGGCTTGGGTTCGGACCGAAAGGAGATAGAATTCTGCTGGACAGAGGTGGAGACTATAGCCAAGAACAGATGTAGGCTATATATGGAGAGCTTTTGTTGGTGGCTTATAGTATAGATCCACATTGGGTGAGAAAAGCCAGTGATGATGATGATGATGATGATGATGATGATGATGATGATGATGATGATGATGATGACAAACTCCACAAACTTCATCAAAAAAGGTCATTCTTTGTCACCACTCACCATCAAACGCTGCCCAATGTCCACAACATCCACAACCAGCACAAAGACAT